GAACAGTGGAGGTTCGTCGAATTATTTGAAGGTTGATGAATCGACTTATTTTTAAGTCGACGAACCTCGACTCTTTGCCATGGCCAAGCATTTCAAAGATAGTGTCATACCTCCCCCCCCTCCCGGCTGCGACGCCCCCTGTTTTTGGTTCGGGTTTGGTGGACGGCCTCTTTGTCTCCGTGGATACCTTTCAGTCTTTCCCGCAACGCCCTGACGTCGTCATCCTTGGTCTTGCATCAAGCGTATATACACTTGCATGCTCGGCCTGCTTCTGCTGAAAGACCAAGTTGGCCTGATCCAGAGGACCCTTGGCTCGTTCCTCCTCGAGATCTCGTGCGGTCCCTTTGGTCTCTCCCTGCGAGAGACACCAGCAGGTGGGGTCTCTGTTGGGATATGGAACCGACTCCGGCTACCTCCTGCAGATCGGATAGAGGAGAGTGGCATGCTTGTACTCCTGCTTTTTGTTCGGACGTTTGCCGCGGCGGACCACCTGGACGCGAGAATGACCCGCGTCCGCTACCGCAGTCTCCACCACAACTCTAGAGCGTTGACTTGGGTTTGCCAAGGGATACTTTCAGACGCAAGAGTGTGCGTCTTGTGCGTGTTGAGATGATGCACTCGACGGGATTTTGAGACGTCCTTGGAGCGGGAGCTCAAACGAGGCAGTGTTACAAAGTCGCGTTTCGAGGGACCTTTCGTTTTCTCCGAGACCTTCGTAAGGCTCAGGCCACAAACGTCCGATGTGTACATACAATGCCGTAAGGGGGTGGTGGCGCTTCCGCCACTACCATACGGTCAACACACAACGGCGACCTGGGCAAGTCGTTTGCAGCGCTTGCGTTGGCATATCTATGGTGCATGGTACGGTTAGACCACGCGCCAATCGTTTCAAGTGGCCGCGCGTTTCGCCGGGAGGGCCCACCAACGATGTCGAGGCTGATTGTGACGCCCCTTCCGCCTTTGCATATCTGGTGATGGCACGGCCGACGCAAGGATGATGCCCATGTTCTGGTTCGTCCTTCTGAAGCATGGTCTGGGCCGGCGAAAACCCGGCACATCACTCCGTCGCCTCATTGGTAGAGATGCGAGCTCAACGGTCTTACGTAGTGCTACGGCTTTGCGTTTGAAGCCCATGCGTGCACCACCACCCACCCCCCTCCCCGCCCGCCCACCGCCGTCGATTTTGGGCTTTTCTAGGCCTTCGGAGACCCTTTCGCGGCCGCACCTGCCGTCCTACCGACGACCACCGCGATCGGCGGCGGTGGCGCGTTCGCTGGCAATAACGGTAACGGGGCCGTGCACGCACGTGCCCCCTCCACCGGAAACGAAGACTTTAGCGATTTCCAGGGTAGCAGCAGCGCGCCCGGCGGCGGCGGCGGCGGGGAGACTACGGGCGCGTCCAGCGGCGGCACGGGCGCGGCAACGAATGGCGCCGTGACTAACCCCAAGTGGAGGGACGTGTCTTCCCTTGTCGATCTCGGAGGGCTGAGCAGTAACACGGACAAGAAGGTGCGGCGTTGTGTCGTTGGAAGGCGGGGAGGGGAGGACCTCATTGGATTTTTGGCGTTGGAGAGGGGCGCTCTGTCTCCCTTGCTGCATGTTTTCTGTTCTCTTGGTATTTGCTTCTCTTTTTGGCTTGTGCGTTTGGTGTGTTGGGTGCTACTGCCACGATGAGGGGGTTGATCAACACAGCAACGGCGAGAGGGGGGGGGGGGGGGGGGGGGGGGCTTTTTTTTT